TGAGGTTTTCGGCAGCTAAGAACACCCAAAACACGATTCCCGAAACACGATTCCCGCTCAACCTGTTGCACGACCGGAGGGAGGGGCTGGAATCATATTTTTGAGGTTTTCGGCAGCTAAAAACGCCAAAAACACGATTCCCGCTCACACGTGGCAGAGACCCCGATCCTACGTCCCACGACAGGAGGGGAGGGAATCATATTTTTGACGTTTTCGGCAGCTAAAAACACCAAAAACACGATTTCTGCTCAACCCGTCCGACGACAGGAGAGGAGGGAATCGATATTTTGGAGGTTTTCACAGCTACAAACACCAAAAACACGATTCCCGCTCAACCCGTCGCACTACAGGAGAGGAAGGAATCGTATTTCTGAGGTTTTCGGCAGCTAAACACATCAAAAACACGATTCCCGCTCACATGTGGCAGGGAACTCGATGCTCCGTCCCACGACAGGAGGGAATCGTAGTTTTGACGTTTTCGGCAGCCAAACAACACCAAAAACAGGGTCGTGGGGAGGGAATCGTATTTTTGAGGTTTTCGGCAGTTAAAAACACCAAAAATACGATTCCCACTCAAGCCGTCCCACGACCGGAGGGGCGGGAATCGTATTTTTGAGGTTTTCACAGCTATAAACACCAAAAACACTATTCACACTCAACCCGTCCCACGACAGGAGAGGAGGGAATCGTATTTTTGAGGTTTTCGTCAGCTAAAACACCGAAACACGATTCCAGCTGTGAAAGCTGTTCTTGCCTCCAGTTGCGCTGTAATTGCCTCCTATTTGCGCTGAAATTACCCCTTCATTTTGCGCTGTTGTTGCCCCCTTCTTTTTGCGCTGTTATTGCCTCTCTGTGCGCTGTAATTGCCGCCTCCTTTTTGCGCTGTTATTGCGCGCTCTCTGCTCGTCAGCCAGTCTCTCGCGTGGCATTTCATGCCGCAGTCGGCGGACAGCACGAGCTCTCACGTGGCGTTTCATGCCGCAGTCGGCGGACAGCACACATAGCTCATTTTTTTATGAGCCGTCTCCCTCATTGCTGTTTCCTCACCTCTAAAAGCCCCGGACAACAAGGGTGCGCCGGGGAGTCTCGCTCCCAATTCCTGTTGCCAATATACCTTCCAGCCAGGAAGGCCAGCAACTGATCCGTGGCTGTCCACTCACTGACATGTACTATGTACTGTTGATGTGAAGTGCTAGCCGTTCTTGTCTCGAGGGTACTGAAGTCCTGAGAACCAGCTGCTGCAGTTGTATCGGGGACTCCTCTCGCATTGAGTGACATGTGGCCATGGGAGTTATGAAGCCCAGCTTCTTGCTGCGTGACAAAGGGATCCCAGGTTTCGGGGGATGGGAGGCACAGAGACAGCACAACAACGTTCGGGATTGTCACCGCTGCGGTTTTTCCTCAGGCCCGCCGCAAGCAAGAGAGTGAATTGCCAACACGCTCGCTCCTTGCTGTCCCGAGCCCCGAGCAAGCAAGACATGAGGAACAGCCGCATAGACACAGCAGCCCTCGTGCTCCCCACCAACAGTTGGGGCGGACACAAAATAGGGAAACTAGTTTCATCCACTCAGTCACTCCTTTCTGTTTCTCTTCAGTTGGACGCATCTTGCCATTGTGTCTACATTGAGTCTACTTGCTACCCCGAGTTCAAGGACCGTGCTGCGGCCAGTGATGGCAGATTTGGCTGTGTCCTCTGCTGCTCGGAAAGGAAGCACTGCTCATTCTGGCAGCGTGATCACTTACCAGTTGCCGTGCGAGTAAGGAATGCCAGGGAAGAGGTATCGGTCGAAAGCTGGTCGAGAAGCTAGAAGAAGCGGTGCGCGAGGAATGGGGCTATGATGAGCTTGTCTTGCTGGTGGAGGCGACGAACTTCCAGGTGGGAATGCAACCGAACGCAACAGCTAGGAAGGACCTGCAGCGACAGCACATTCACAGCTTCTCCTATTAGACACTCATCGCTAAGCACCCTGCGAGTCGTGCGCAGAAATTCTCAGCAAGAGGCCAGAGGAGTCTATGAGCGTTTGGGCTACCGACTTGCGGGGATCAGACTCGGACAAGTCACAACATATTTGGATGCCAGTGAACCCCGCGACAGCACTTCTCGCGTCAAAGAGCGCACAACAGTCTCTTGGCTGCTGTTGAAAGGCGAGCAGAAAACTTTAAGCACGGTTATAGCGACGCACTAGCAGCTAGCAGAGATTCCGATGTCATGATCTTGCTAGTGGAAACGGGCATGTGGAGACGTTCCAATGACATTCTGAATGGCATTCCTGCAGTTTGATGCAGCCTAGGTGGCATTTCTCCTTCGGAAGAGTTTGAAGCCTTTCCCGTGGGGGACTCTGGAAAACCAAAACTGGGGCCTTCTCCTCGCACTGCTGGGTGGAGCTGCCTACTTGCAGAGCTCAGATGGCGAGGAGCTGCTTGGCCTTCCTTTGGAGGAGCTCTTCAGATACGCGTCAGACGCGGGGCTCGCGGTCCCCTTCCCCTCCTTTCCAGTGTGAACATAAAGACCCATCGATTCGAATGACAGTGTCTGCCAAAAAGTCTGCTTGCTCCATGCCCGTGCGTCGTGCCCTCATGGTTTCTCACGGAGTGACATCTGCTCGAACAGCTCCTCGTTGACACAGGAACATCTGAAGGAACGTGCGGAACTCGGCTGGCCCGCTGCAGCGAAATGCAGAGAAAGCTTGTCTGCTGTCTGCTCCAGGGGCTAGCGGCTACTGATTGTTTATAAAATGAAGTCTGTCGACTGTGCGGTCTGGTCTTCCGGAAAGGACTTAAACCGGTCATGACATAGAGCCCGCCACATATAGCCATGCAGCTCTTCTGATTTCCACATCGGGTCTGCGTCTGCAAGAGTTCGAGTCGTTTGACCTTGGGATGTTGGTCAATCTGGCGCACTGCTGCATTAAACCTAGTTGGTCGAACGACGTGTTTCGCAGATCGCAGTCCACAGGTGTTCTTGGCGGTTTGCAAATTTCGTCGAAGAAGCTTCCGCTGATGGAAGTCTCACCTCAACTGCGCCCCACCTCATGCGGACAAGAGAGATGGTCGGACATGTTCAAACAATCCCAATCCCCAGAGCTCGAATCTTCTCAGTACGGAAATGTTTACCTGTCAAGGGTTCGCCATATGAGACCCAAGCAGCATCGTTTGCCGAAACCGAGCCTTTGCGGCCGCAGAAGAGGTCCAGCTTCCTTTGCTAAGGTACTGAATTGTCGGTGACTGGCTGTGACAAGGACGAGCACCAACCTTTCGGTGACTTGCCCGCAAGAAGACTATGGCAATGGCCTGTGGCTCACCGATGCCTCCCGGCACGTTGTTTCTGCCACGGTCAGGTGTCGTCTTTGCGCTCTGCAGCGCTCTGGCTGCGGAGGTGCTGCGCACTTTCCGCCTGATGGAGCTGGAGGCAGAGGAGAGAAGCGTACAGTGAAGAAAGCGATATGTTTGGCACCGATTAGCTAGGTTGTCACAGAGCTGCGCATCTCCAGAGCTCAAAGCTCTGGCGCCGAGGCCATACAAGACTCACGAGAGGTCTTTGACAAGTTGCAGGATTCGCAATTGCTTTGCGACGACTTGAGGTGGACAATGGTGGCCTCCTTCCAGACAACCGCAGGGAGGTGTCTTTCCGGCTTTTCGTGCCGGTGGATGAGCCTTGCTCTTTGCCTTGCCGCTGATCAGTTGCTACCGCGCTACTTAATGAGACTGCAACATGAATTTATCAAAAACAGACAGATGCCCCACAAGGTCAGGGCTTGACTCTACAACTGCTACGTTGACCTTGCAAACAAAGGCACTCTCTGGACGCACTGATTGAGAATGTTGACTTGGATCAGCCACTACTGGAAAGCAGGATCGCGAGGTTGCCATGTCCTATCCCATCAAGGACTGATTGGACTCTGCACGGTATGGCGCATGGTTGGCACATGAGGTGCGAATGTGATGTTGGTGTCTCGTGCTGTCAGGCCGGGCGAGCGTTCATTTGGTGGAGCCGTGTCAGCCTCGGTGGCGGAGAGATCATTGGTGCGATTGGGGACATGTTTGGACTGGTGACTGGTGCTTTCGTGCGAGGCCAGACCTTCCACCAAATTCTCGGAGGCACGCGATGAGCTTTCTCAACTTTCTGGCAGAAGCAGATCAGTGTCTGTGCCTGGCATCTTCAGGCGACAGCTGCTTTGCCGAGCCTGAGATGTAGTATCGTCGCCGTGGCAGTCAGAAAAGGCCTTGCTTGAGCTTAATGGTGTTCTTCTCTTCGCTCAGGCGATCTGCTGCTGGGCTGTCATAGCGCAGAAGCCGGGATGCCTACTGTGCAATTCGAGCACATCCTGCAGCCGTGAAAGTGCATGTGTGAGCCAGGTCTGATGCCAAGTTCTCTCAGCACAGTTGATCGTGAGAAAATGGCAAGATATGGCAAGCACAAGCTCACTGCAGAAGGTTTGGGTAAGCGTTTGTGGTTCTATGCTCACGAAGCATGCAAGTCAGCCCGCTTTGCACACTAGCCCAGGCTCAGAAGCTGTTGCCTCGGGCTAACTAGGTAACCAGGTTTCAGCTCAATTAGTTGCCAGATCCGCTTGGTAGCTTGGCCTGCGCAAACAGCCCTCAACGACCAGTGACTGCAAGCCAACCTGTCGAGACCGGACCCAGCATTTGGTAGACTGGAACATCGCCCTGCCCGCGTAGCCTGCATGCTGCAATAGCTGCGAGCGTCGCTTTGCATTCGCAGTTGGCCTCTCAGCTTCTGCCCTTCTGAACCATCTGGCAGACCGTCGAGTCACCCGGTCAAGAGCAGGAGCCGCGATGGGCAATTCCCAGGGACCTGGGTTGTGGAGCCCTTACTGTCAACATCTGCATGCGAATAACCGGGCAGCCGAGATTTTTGAAAAAGCGTACGGGATACGGTCCTGCAAAGTGCGGTTGCGTTTCAGGTTCGGCGGCCCCAAGTGCTGTTTGGGCTTGGGAGGGAGCACCGACATGCAAAGTCAGCTTCCCGGCATGTGGAAATGCAAGACCGTGTTGGTATGTTCTCACCTCTGGTCGCCAGGCATGGTCTGCGGCCGCTCGAACGAATACGATTTATCAGTTCAGGCTCGGAGATGTGCAACCACTGCATCATGAAGCCAAAGCTCGATGGCAGGCAGAAGCTGTTGGCTCACCAACGTGCTGCCTCGCTTGGAGGCCACCTACCATACAAGCACCTGCGAGCAAGATGCGAAATGTGCATATATCACAGCAAATACAGTACTTTTCAACGTAGTCTCAAGTGGTGAGACTGGGGATTGCCGCCGCACGTCGATGTTTCCTGCACCAGGCTTGGCGTCGACACTGCGGCAGCTTTCTTGCATTTGGACATGTGGTTTCGTAATTTGTCATATTATGTAGAGTTGGACGCATTTAATTGTACTGCAGCGAAGCATGGCCAAGTTCACCATAAAAGTGGACCAGTTGCAGAAGTTGCACGAGCAAGCCACGGTCCCAGTAGTCACTCATTGCTGCCATGCACTTGTTGAAAGCAAGCGAACATAATTCGCCTCAGTTTGTGTCTGCTCAGATTGTGAGCCACCTTGCTTATTTTGAAGCCCACATGTTGGTGGACGACGCGACCAGCGGCGCCTTGGCTCAACAGGTCACGCATCTCTTTGCTTAGCGTTGTTGCTGTGCAATGATACTGTGTGCTGAAGGCACCCCTAAAGTCAAATTTAGGACCAGCACGTCCGATAAGGGGAGTGGTGCTGTGAACGTGCCTGTACGTTTGTAGCCAAGGGCTGCTTGTGAGCGCTCTCGCTCTCTCACTCTCACTCTCACTCTCACTCTCACTCTCACTCTCACTCTCACTCTCTCCCTCTCTCTCCCTCTCTCTCTCTCTCCCTCCCTGTCTCTCTCTCTCTGCAAGGACAGAGCCCTGAAACCCCAAAACCCCTGAGCCTTGACCCAGCCCGACATGTTCTTGATGCTGTTTCTGGTACAGAGACGCTAGGGGAACAGTAGTGCTTTAGTGCAGACCCTATCTCAGCCCTACCACCTAAACTTCTAAACCCAAAACCCTAAGCCCCAAGCCCTAAACCTCCATCTCCACATGCAAGCCTCCGTTTCCAGCCCGGTCGTAACCCTGGGCCGACCACGCCCTTTCTTCCACTGACGGCGTCGGTACATCGGAGTTCCTTGAAGAGCCTACTGTTGATGATATAAATCCTGCATTACCTTAAGGACCCTAAATTATGGGAATTATGGTAACCCTAAACCCTAAACCCTAAACTCTAAACCCTAAACCTTATTATGGGTAATGCAGGATTTCTATCATCAACAGTAGTAAAGGCTCCAAGAACCTAGAGTCCCAAAAAGGCTGTAAGGCTTTAGGGTTCCGGGTTTAGGCTTTAGGGGTGTACGGTTTAGGGTTTTGAGGTTTAGGGCTTTAGGGTTTTAGGGTTGGCTCTGGGACTTGATCCAAGAGCTCCTGTTTATGCGATCTTGGGAATCCGGTCTTTGTGCTAAGGGCTCACTTTACGCAGCGTGCCTGAAGTTACCACTACCTCGTCCCTCGGTCAAAACTGGGTTGGAGCTCGGCGAAGAAAAGCCTAAACCTTAAACCCTAGACTCTA